GGTGCCATTAGTTAAAAATAACAAGGGTGACGCTGCTGAGATGGCGAGTTTAGAAGAGAAGGCACATGCATCAATTTTGCTTTGTCTTGCAGATGACATCATTGTCGAGGTTTCAAATGAAACGACTGCTGCTGGTTTATGGGGGAAGTTGGAGATATTGTATATGACAAAGTCTCTTACAAACAAGTTGCTTTTGAAACAACGTCTTTTCGGGTTAAGAATGCATGAGGGTACGAACCCAGAGATCACTTAGATCAGCTAAACACGCTATTACTAGAGCTACGTAATATCGATGTTAAGGTGGAGGATGAGGATGCTGCTCTACTTCTATTGGTATCTCTACCACTATCATACAAAAACTTTGTGCAATCGTTTATAGCCGGTAAAGATACTGTATCTTTGGAAGAGGTTCGCTTGTCACTTCATAGTAGAGAGCTGCGACATCAGACGTCTGGTACAGGTGCAGATAATCAAGCTTATGGACTGTTTGTCAGCAGTGGAAATAACAAGCAGAAGAATGCAAAACGATATGTTTCAAAAGATCCGAAACCAGATGATATCTGCAATTACTGTAAAGAAAATGGGCACTGGAAAACAGATTGTCCTAAGAAGAAGAAGAAGTAGTCAGTTGCTGTTATTGTAGCAGAGAATGACAGCAAGTCTGAAGTAGACTTTGCACTGGCTGTATATGAACAGACACATTCCTCAGATGTGTGGGTTCTAGACACTGGAGCTTCTTACCATATGTGTCTTAGGAGAGAGTGGTTTTACACATATGAGTATGTAGATGATGGTAGCATAATGTAGCTAACAGTTCTGCTTGCAAGGTTGTTGGAATTTGTTCGATCAAGATCAGGACACATGATGGTAGATTCTGCACCTTAAGAGATGTCAGACATGTTCCGTCTATGACAAAAAAACTCGATATCTCTAAGTCCTTTAGACAGTAGAGGGTTCAAGTATTCAGGTGGTGACGGAGTTTTGAAAGTTTACATGGGTTCTGATGTGATTCTGAAAGGTGCCATACATGGTACTTTATATTTTCTGCAAGGCTCCACAATCACAGGTTCAACCAATGTTACAGCTTCTGAGGTTCGTAAGGAAGATTTGACAAAGCTATATATAACATATGAGGCTTGGTCATATGAGTGAAAGAGGTATGCAAATTTTGTCTAAGGAGGATCTTCTTTGTGGCCATGAGGTTAAGGGTCTAGAGTTTTGTGAACACTGCATTTTCTGAAAGCTTCATCCCAACAAGTTTCCTAAGGCTATTCATAGAACAAAAGGTACGTTGGACTACATTCACTCAGATTGTTGGGGTCCGTCTCGGGTGAAATCTTTTGGAGGTCACAGGTACTTCGTGTCTATGATTGATGACTACTCACGGAAGATTTGGGTGTTCATACTGAAGCATAAAAGTGAAGCTTCATAAAAGTGAAGCTTTTAAAAACTTCAAGGAGTGGAAAGCTCTAGTTGAAAATCAAACAAGGAAAAATATCAAAAGGTTTCGAACTGATAATGGTTTGGACTTCTGTTTATTTGAGTTCAATCAGTTGTGTAGAGATGAAGGTGTTGCACGTCATCACACAGTCAGAGATACACCCCAACAGAATGGTGTAGGTGAGCGGATGAACCAGACGTTACTGGAGAGAGCGAGGTGAATGCTCTCTAATGATTGTTTAGAAAAACAGGTTTTGGGCTGAATCTGTAAGTACAGCTTGCTACTTAATAAACCATGCACCACATACAAGTATCAAGTGCAAGATACCTACTGAGATGTGGTCAGGTACATGTGCTGATTACTCAAATATGAAAGTTTTTGGTTGCACAGCTTACTATCATGTAAGTGAAGGTAAACTAGAACCAAGAGCAAGGAAAGGAGTTTTTGTAGGCTATGGAGATGGAGTTAAGGGGTACAGGATATGGTCTCCATCAGAGAAGAGGGATTTTACAAGCAGTAACATTGTCTTTGATGAAAGTTCTATGTTCAGATGCTCAGCAGAGCCTGCAGCTTTGCAGATAATGAGAGTTTCGACAAGCAGGTGGAGCTGCATGACGATCATGACAAGAGTGATTTGCAGCAACACAAAGAAGGTCATGAGGAGCAAACAGAAAATGTTCTTTTGGGACCTACTGTATCTGAAACTCAACCATCTGGAGTTGCAAAATATAGTATTGCAAAAGATCGACCCAAGAGGATTGGCGTTGGACCACCTGTGAGATATGGCTTTGAGGATATGGTCAGATATGCACTGCATGTGGCAGAAGAGGTTGATACGTATGAGCCATGCACTTACAATGAAGTTGTATCAAGTGTTGAAGCTGAGCAATGGTTTGCTGCTATGGGAGAAGAGATGAACTCTCATGATAAAAATCATACATGGGATCTGGTCATTATTCCACAAGAGAGAAAGATTGTCACTTGCAAGTGGGTCTTCAAAATAAAGGAAGGGATATCACCTTCAAAAGGAGTCAAGTATAAAGCTCATGTTGATGCTAGAGGTTTCAGTCAAAGAGAAGGAGTAGACTACAATGAGATTTTTTCACTAATGGTCAAACACACATCTATCAAAGTACTGTTAGCAATAGTGGCACGTCAGAATTTGGAGCTCGAACACTTGATGTGAAGACCACTTTCCTTCATGGAGAGTTAGAGGAAGAGATATACATGACCCAACCAGAGGGTTTTGAAGCTCCAGGCAAGGAAGACTATGTGTGCAAACTGAACAAGTCGTTATATGGACTTAAGCAATCTCCAAGGCAGTGGTACAAAAGATTTGACAGCTACATGACGAAGTTGGAGTACGTTAAAAGTCCTTATGATTGTTGTGGTTACTACAAAAGGTTGAAGGATGAATCATATATTTATCTGGTGCTTTATGTGTATGACATGCTGATAGCTGCAGAGGAGATGTGTGATTTTCAAAAGCTGAAAGATTCGCTTAGCTCTGATTTTGAGATGAAAGGCTTAGGTGCAGCAAAGAAGATTATAGGCATGGAGATTTTCAGGGATAGAAAATAGAAAAGCTCTTCTTGTCACAGAAAACCTATATTGAAAAGGTACTAGTAAGGTTTGGAATGTCCACAGCTAAACCTATCAATACACCAAGCGCAGCTAACGTTCATCTCACAACGGTTGCTCCTCAGTCTGAAGAAGAAAATAAGTATATGTCTCGGACTCCTTACGCTAGTGCTGTCGGAAGTTTGATGTATGCTACGGTATGTACAAGACCAGATCTTGCACATGCAGTCAGTGTTGTTAGCAGGTTTATGGGACAACCAAGAAAGAAACATTGGTTAGCTGTGAAGAGAATTTTTCGTTATCTTAGAGGTACATCTGATGTTGGTCTTATCTACGGAGGTGAGAGTCCCTGCCAGGTGACAGGTTAGTCGCTACGTGTTTACCTTAGGCGACTCTGTTATTAGCTGGAAAGCAACTCTGCAACCTACAGTGATGTTGTCTACTACTGAAGCAGAATACATGGCTTTGACAGAAGCAGCTAAGGAAGGTATCTGGTTAAAAGGGTTGGTTAGCAATCTGGGTTTGCATCATGATCAAGCTACAGTACACTGTGACAGCTTGAGTGCGATTTGCTTAGCTAAGATCAGGTTCATCATGAAAGAACCAATCATATTGACATGAGGTATCACTTTCTAAGAGATGAGAAGAGAATAAATGTTAAAAAGGTAGGAACTGCTGATAATCCTTCTGATATGTTCACTAATCCAGTTCCTCGCAGCAAGTTCCAACATTGTTTGGATTGCTGAACGTCACAAGCTGTTGATCTGGCCCTTTGGGGCATCTGGCCCTTCGGGGCGTCTGGTCCGAAAGGACATCTGAGGCAAAAGGAGAAACCGGGTACATCTGGCATCATTAAGGTGCGTCAAGTACATCTGTTTGAGGGTTCAAGTCAAGTTGGAGATTTGTTAGTATGCCTTGAATCTGAGACTGTGCAAGGTGCGACCTGCGGAAGGTGCGACCTGAGAAAGGTGCGACCTGACGAAGGTGCCACTTTTGGAAGGTGCTGGCTACACAGAAAACTGCAGAAGGTGGAGTTTGCAGATTTTGTAAGCTGCGAAACTGTTAGCAGATTGTGTAAGCTGCGAAGCTGCTAGCAGATTATGTAAGCTGCGAAGCTGCTAGTAGATTGTAAGCTACGAAGCTTCTCGGATAGGATAACTCCTATATGGGCCGAAGCTACTAGCTTAAGGTTGTTATGTGGGCCTAACCGAATAGGTCCAAATCTGTTTAGGGTTAACTTGATGTTAGCTATAAATAACCTTGTTACACCTAATTCTGATGTATTCTGAACCTTCAGCCTCCATTAATAAATCAGTCTCTTTTTGTCCGTGAACATAGCAACACATCGTTGGTGAACCACGTTAATTCTGTGTTTTTGCTTTACATTCATAGCTCAATCTTTTCGCATCCGTTATAACACATAGATTTCTTATAAATCATGATATCTGAGTGATTAACACAAGCTGGAATCCACAGCCCATTGTAAATAAAACTACTAATAACTAGTTTAGTTAAAGACCACGATATTTAGAATATCCTGCACTTTTAAAGGGAGCAACATGTCAGAAACAAGTTTATCATGAAAAGAATAAACATGTCATAAAGAAATGATGGGCAATGAATAAGATCCTATGCATCTCTGATTGGATGTGATATAAATGAAGTGTTGAAAAGTTCAGTTAATAAAAGGATATGTACACACACAAAAAAACGAAGGGTCAATGGTTATAGGATACTGGATTACATACAGATAGCAGATAACATTTGGTAATATGCCATTGAGTGAGTGAAAACTGATATAAAATAGTTTACAATTTTTCTTTTGTCTTTCTTTCTTTTATTTCTTGTAGCATAAAGTGTATACAGAGAGAATAAACCCCACTTTTCAGTTACATCTCACCGATTTCATCAAACTTCTCTTTGTGAAAAGTTTTTTTTTTCGGTAAAATGTGAATTATGTAATCTTATCGAAAAAAAATTAAGAATCAGCTAAGTAATACAAAACCCCACTGATGCATATCCCTTCACTGCTAGGAAAATTGTTTAAGGGACAATGGATCTTCCTCCATGAATCGTTTCCAGTACCTAGTGTCAAAATTTGATATTGGCATCTCTTTTCATCAGCGTCAAGCTCTCCAATGGACAATACCTTGAAGTATTTGCCAATCGGATCAAACCCTATAAAACTTCTCCAAAAGCTTCTCCGATTACACTCTTTAGGTATAGGTAAGCTCGTGAACTGACCCGTGCTAGGCTTACATATTATTATACACTGATCATGTTCTGAGATATGTGGACATAAATAGATCAAATCAGAGGCACGACCACAAAATTCTAGACATGTGTTGCCTCCAGGGAACTTCATTTGACAATCGGCAGTTACTTCAAGAGACAATTCCTCATCATCTGGATTTTTCGGCTGAGGCGAAGTGAAGAAGCACCAATCATCGCCTTCTTGTTCCACTGCGAATAAGAGACGCGGCCGCGCAGAGGATCTGGTCAGGAACAACTCGGTGAAATATGGACGGAGAAGTATGGAGCTCCATAACTTCGAAACGCAACGAAACCTCGCGACTGACTTGGCAGGCAATCTTGAGAGTATGTCGTTGACAAGATCAGTCGGGATGGAACATGAGTTTGTTTCTCCACTCATCATTTTGTTTGCCGAGTTCAGACTTGGATAAACACCAGAGGCTCTAGTCTATGGTTTTAAAGACAATCTTTGGGTTTCAAAGTTAACTATATAGTTTTAAATAGAGTTTAAATCTAACTATAATCTACTATTATTTAATGATTGATTTTAAATCATTTATAAAAATTTAGTGTTATTTGATTTTGTATTTTTTTTTTTTGCCAAACTCTTTATAATAATTGAAATCTATTGTTATTAAATTCAAGATTATATACCAATTAAAGTCTTATGTTATTGATGTATGATAGATTACAATCACCTTTCACGAGTTTGACTTAATTTGAAACTCTTTATAAAAATGTTTGAAATCCATTGTTATTCAATTAAAGATTAAGTTAAAGTCTTATGCTATCCACAGATTAATTACCTTAAAGTGAAAAGGTTTAAGTCAATGTGAAACATTTTTTTAAAAAGAGTATAAAATCTATTGTTATTTAATTAAAGATTATATACCAATTAAAATTTTGTGTTATTCATGTATGATAGATTACAGTTACTTTAACGTGAAAGAGTTTGAGTTAGTTTTAAAATTTTTATAAAAAGTATTCAAAATCCATTATTATTTAACCAAAGATTATATATCAATTAAAATCTTATGTTGTTCGTGTATGATATATTACAATTACCTTAACGTGAAAAATTATGGGACCCCCTAGGCTTTTCTCTTTATGCAACCCATTCTTATAAAATTTTAAAAGCCCAAGTTCAGTTCATACAAGGCTTTTTTGGCCAGAGAGTCAGCTAAATCATTTGCTGCTCTGGGAATAAAGCGAAAATCGATAGCATTGAAGTCTAAAGAGCTAATGAAAATATCAGAGATCACACCATGGATCGATGGTATCGGTGACTTAGATCGGATAGCTTTGATGAGCTGTTGAGAATCGGAGTTGATAATTACTCTGTTGAACAACAAAGATTTGGCTTGGAACAGTGCAGACCTGATTGCAAGAGCTTCCACCATGAGAGGAGAAGCTACATTCAGGAGTGACGCAGAGTGTTCCGATTGAGGAAGCTGGCTTCCGGGAATGACCAGCCTAATCCTGCTACTTCCGATTGGGGAGTCCAGGCGGCGTCTGTGCAGCAGGTGATGAAACCCTCGGGTACGAGTTGGATTTGAGGTGGGGTTTCCGGATCTGTGATCGGCTTTGCAGTTTGGGTGATTGATTGGGCATCAAGCTACTCTCGAGCATCCAAAACTGCTTTGAGGATCACCTCTGCTTCCGAGAAAGTCCGATCGTTGAAGATTTTTTGGTTTCTGGAGGTCCATAATGTCCAGCGGATCCACGGGAACAACAAACCCTTGTCTAACCCTATCGGCGGGAGAGTATAAATTTCTTGGGCAAGATTCAATCCTTCCGCGACATCTTGGATTAAGCCCCCATCAAACTCATATGCAAAAGCACTCGTCTTCCACGCCTCACTGGCGAAAGAACAATGGAAGAGGAAATGGAGAGTCGTTTCGGGTTCATTGCATCTTCTGTAGAGGTGATTTTCATGTATATTCCGGTGACTCAATTGAATTCCCACTGGTAAAGCTTCATGTATGGTTTTCCAGAGAAATTTTTTAATCTTTGGGGCTGTAGAGAGCCTCCAAACCTGTTTATTCCAATCAAGTAGAAGTTCAGGTACTAAAAGGTTTTCCTGATCTGTATCCCGATCTCACTGACTAGATGCCTGAGGGATGTTTAAGCTAAGTGAGTTTGTCCTCAGCCCGGAGAAGACTTGGTTTGATACTGAGTATCTTATCCCGGTAAGCAGGTAGGATTTTCTCTATTAGAGCTTCATTCCATACCATAGATTGGCCATTTAGAAGGTCACTAACTCTGAGTTGCCTTGCATGATAGGGAGGAGGGCCAAAGGGAGAACACTTGTCCTCTGAGGACACTAAGCATCCTTCCAGACATTAATCTTTTTGCCAATGCCGACAACCCATCCAAGCTGCTCACTTAGTAAGTCTCTCCCTATGCAACTACTTTTTCATCCATGCGAAGATGATCCACTAGTAGTGCTTTTTATAACAAAGTTTCTGCATGGTATCTGCCTTTTAGGATTCGGGCTAATAGATTGTCTGGACTCTGTAACAGTCTCCATGCTAGTTTAGCTAACAATGCATCATTGAAACAGCAGATATCCTTGAATCATAATCCTCCTTCTGCCTTAGCTTTAGCCATCTTCTTCCTGGCTATCCAGCGGGTTTTTTGGATGTCTGGAGAAGAGTCCCACCAAAACCTTGTCAACGCTGACTAAATCCTTTTACAGAGGGATTCTGGAATCTTGGAACATGTCATCGTGTAGGTAGGCATAGCTGAAAGAACACTTGTTAGCATCACCAACTTTCCTGCATTTGATAACAGTTTTGATGACCAGCTCTTTGCTTTCTGCTTGATACGGTCTACAATAGATGTGAATATGTCTTTCTTTGATCTGCCACAGTGTTCTGGTAAACCCAGATAGTTTCCCATACCACCCTCAACTTCTATATTGATACACTGTAAGATTGAGCTTTTCTTTGTGTGTGGAGTTTTCTTGGAGAATGTGATAAAAATTTGATCAGTTTTCCCGAGCATGCTTCATATTTTGATAGTACCTCTTTAAGTTCTTTGCAACTTTTGATGTTTGCCTTGCAGAAAAACATAGTGTCGTCGGTAAATAAGAGGTGGTTTACCCGAGGACATCCTCTAGCCACTTTAATGCCCTGAAGCTTCTTCCTTTCCTGAACTCGGTGGCACCACCCTGACAAAACCTCACTGCAGATTATAAACAGGTAAGGTGACAATGGATCCCCCTGTCTTACCCCTCTTTGTGGCTTGATGTATCATCTAGGGCTTCCATTGATAAGAATAGAATTGGTAACTGTAGATATGCATTGCACGATCCATTTGACGAAGGTGTCATGAAACCCCAATCTGATCATTGCTTTTTCAATAAAAGACCACTCTAATCTATCATATGCTTTGCTCATATCGGTTTTAACCGCCATAGAGCATCTTTCAGTAGCTTTTGAAGTCTTTAGGAAATGAAGAACCTCATGTGTAATTAACACATTGTCTGATATAGCTCGTTTAGGCAAAAAAGCTGACTGGTTTTCAGAAATAACTGCCTCGAAAATTGGTTACATACGTCGAGATATTATTTTTGAATTGACTTTGTAATAGACATTACAAAGTGCTATAGGCCTGTATTCAGCAACTCTTTTGGCTCCCACCAGCTTTGGAATCAATCTAATATGGGTTTCATTGATCCTTTTAGGCATAACTCCAGATGCAAAGAAACCTTGGACATCTCTGATGATCTCCTTGGACTAGGAGCTTTGTCCGGATGTATTGAGAAGAGTGCCTCTTTGATCTCTTCAGCCGAATGTTCTCTTATTAAAGACTGATTCATTTCAGAGGATATCCAGGGAGACAGTGCATCATTGATGATGCTCTCATGTGATTCTAGGTTAGTGGCGTTAGAGGTGAATATGTCTTTGAAATACTCAGAAATTAATTTAACTATCTTGTCTTCCTCGTAATGAGCCTTTCCTTCGTTATCTTCCAGAACTGAAAATTTATTAATGGCAAACATTTGACGAGAAGAGGCATGGAAATATCTGGTGTTTAGGTCTCCAAGAAACAGTCTGCTCCTCTTTTTCCAATATGCCTCTTCCTTTTTGTGAGCTGCCTGAAGATTGTCTTTGATTGATTTTATGAGAGCTTCGTTTGGCGTGAGATCAGTTAGTGCTTTTTCCAACTTTTGTTTTAACTCTTCAATGTGAGATTGACTGTCTTTGTAGTGCTGTTTGTTCCAGAAAATGATGGCAAATGTGCACTGGTCAATTCGCTGTTTTACGTTTGCGCTCTTACTCTCCGACCACACTTTTGAGATAAGTTTCTTAACCTCCTCGTTATCCTTCAATCTTTTGTCATATCTAAAAGTTTTTTTTCCTCTTCTTTCTCTTCGGGTTAAAAACTGAGATGACAGGTCTGTGATCTGAAGAGTCAAAGTGCAAATATTCACATCTGCCATTTGGGAAGAGCTCAGCCCATTCACTGTTGGATACAGCTCTATCCAGCCTGCTTTGAATACTGTAAGTGCTTCTTACTCCTCTCCAGGATAAAGCATTTCCAGAGTGGCTTAAATCATACAGATCCCCTTCTGAAAAGAAAGTACGGAAATCCTCAAAAGAGCTCTCTTTTCTAGCAGGACCTCCCACTTTTTCATCATTGCTAAGAATGTTGTTAAAATCCCATGTCAAGAACCACAGTGCATCTCTGATTTGGGCTAGATCGATGAGGTAATCCCAATCTTGCTTTCTCAGTTTCCTGTCTGGATTTCCATATATGAAAGTTGAGTAGAAAGATTTGTCTTCATAGACAATGTGTGTAATGTGTATCAATGGAACTTTGGCAAGAAGATATAACATGCAGATTTCTATTCTGATTCCATAATGATAGTAATCCTCCACCTCCAATGCCGTGTGGAGGGACAATACAATGGTTGGCAAAATTTAGATCTTCTACTTTTTTAGAACAAAGTCATTGGGGTTTTTTTGTCTCCGAAAGAAATATAATATCTGGATCAGTTTTTTTCTTTATTTCCCGGAGACGTGGAACTATCTCGGGGTTCCCTAACCCTTGACAGTTCCAGTTAATAACTTTTAAGAAAGAGGAGGAGGTAGATTCCGAAAATCTGCTTGAGTCCTCTGCACGCTGGATCCAATTCTCTTTCCACGAGACGGTCCTGCCTTATCATTCCCCAGGTCCTTAGTTTGTATCTTACTTGAGTTGATCTTAGAAGCTGCGTATGTGATTCTAGATAATTTGTCAAACCATGGAATCAAACTTGTTAACCGCTTTCTAGGTGAGGGCTTTACTTTCGTCACTTTCCTTTTCTTTTGTGGAGGGTCGGATACCGGGATCGGGTCGCTATGATTCTTTTTTCCAGGTGGTCTGCCTGGTTTTCTCCTGGCCGCAGGTACC